GCTACATAAATCCTTACTGGACAGGATAGAAAATCTCTCTCAAGTGGGTGGGAGGGAAGTTATGGGGGGGAAGCTATTGTAATCCATAAGCTGTACTTTGGAAATTTATGTTCATTAAATAAAATATAAATACAAAAATATTTTTTAAAAAAACACAGTAAAAAAATGAAACCTTAAGGAGAAATCAAAATGAAAGAGAGAATCTAGTAGAACAAGAAATGGTGATATTGAAGAGAAAGCAAAATGAAATGAGGAATACAATAAATCAAATGACAAAAGCATTTGAGAGCCTTAAAAACAGAGTCAGTGAAGCAGAAAAGAATATCAGACTTAGAAGACAGAGCACAGGAAAGTATACGGTCAAATCAAAGAAAAGGAGAGGAAATTAGAAATCTAAAAAATATTCCTGGGAATCTACAGATTAGAACTTAAAAACCCAACATTCGGGTTCTAGGAGTTCGTGAAGGCATAGAGAGAGAGAAAGGATTAGAAGGCCTTTTTAGTGAGATACTAACAGAAACACATCTTTAAGCATCTTTTGCAGGGATGAGTAGCAACAAATGCTTTCAATTTCTGTTTGCTATGAAAGGTCTTTATTTCACCTTCATTCACAAATGAGAGCTTTGCAGGATATAATATTCTGGGCTGGAAATTTTTCTCTCTTAGCACCTGTGCTATGTCTTGCCATTCCCTCCCAGGTGTAGTGTTTCTGATGAGAAGTCTGCTGTGAGTCTGATTGGAGATCCTCTGAGAGTAATCTGACGTTTCTCTCTTGCACATTTTAGGATCTTTTCTTTCTGTTTCACTGCGGTGAGTTTGATTACAACGTGTCTTGGTGAGGATCTCTTTTGGTCATGTTTACTGGGGGTTCTATGAGCTTCCTGTACTAGGATGTCTCTGTCCTTCTCCAAACCGGGAAGTTCTCTGCTAGCATCTCACTAAAAAGGCCTTCTAATCCTTTCTCTCTCTCAATGCCTTCAGGAACCCGAATGTTGGGTTTTTATTTGTAGTACCCTGTAGATTCTCCACAATATTTTTTAGATTTCTAATTTCCTCTTCTTTCCTTTGGTCTGACTGTATCTTTTCCTGTTCTCTGTCTTCTAAGTCCGATATTCTCTCTTCTGCTTCACCCATTCTGTTTTTAAGGCTCTCTAATGTGTTTGTTATTTGATCTATTGAGCTCTTCATTTCATTTTGATTTCTCTTCACTATCACACTTTCCTGTTCTACTAGTTTCTGCGTTTCATTTTGATTCTTCTTTAAAATTTCATTTTCACAAGAGAGATTTTCAATCCTGTCCAATAAGGATTTCTGTAGTTCAAGGATTTGCTTTTGAAAACTTCTAAATGTTCTTATCATAAATTTTTTGAAATCCGTATCTTGCATTTCTTCTATCTCATCATCTTCATAATCTTGGCTTGGGGTGTTTTGTTTATTTGGAGGCATCATAGTGTCATTATTGATCTTGTTCCCTTGATTTCTGTGTTTATTGCTTGGCATGGTTAATTCTTTTTCCCTCACTGTGAGTTTTTTTTTTATACTATGTCTATGTTAAGTGGACTGCCTGCTTTTGGAGGAGCCTTGGAGGCTTGAGATGGGTGTGGCCTGAGAGCTCTGCTTGGTTCTTCCTGGTTACAGGTGTGCAAAGGTTTTGTGTGGTAAACCTCTATTTATTTATTTATTCATTTATTTATTTTATTTTATTTTTTATTCAGGAGGTAAGTAATACTGCAAAGCTGAGCAGAATGGATGGTATTTAGCTTCAGATCTCTGGCTTCTATCCACAGAGTCTGTGCAGGCTCCGTTTTTCCTTTGGACTCCCACTGGGTTGCTTAGGCTACTGAATTGTAGCCTTAACTCTCGCCTTTTATTATGTATATCCCAGCTCTTTGTCTCTTGCTTGCCTTTGCAAGGTTGTCTGTACCAGTACACCCCCACCTTTTTTTTCAGTTTTTTTCCCTTCTCTCCTGTAGTCTGTTGAACTTTCCCACTTCAAAGACTGCTTCCCTCTAAAATTCTGTCTGCTGTTTCCCCACCAATGTCTCCGGTTACTGAGCTCACCTCCGCTTACAGCGCTGATGTGTGGACTCGGAACCCTGGGCGTCCCTCCTCTCCCCGCTGGTGTCTGTGTCACCCAAATAAAAACTTAGAAAGGTATGTCAACCGTTAGATAACAACTTAGGAAAACATTTACCAGAAGGTCCAATGCCTTCTATAAATTCTAAGAATACATGTATTTGGAAACATCTCTTAAATTTCGAACATGGTGTAGCTTGTTTAAGCAGCAAACTCAAGCACAAGCACATAAAATGTTTTTAGTTTCTTTGTACAAGCAGATTTAAAACATCTAAAATAGAGATTCAGGTCACATGGATTAAAATGTATCTTTGATTATTTTTAGCAGTTTAAATCGATGAGCAATCTTTTTATCTATAAGGCAATTAAAACAAAGCTCTTAATAAATCTTCCCATATAGACATACAATATGTGCACACGTGTAACATACAAGGTAGAACAATAAAGCAGTTTCATTAATAGCTTCTTGAAATCTTTAGGTCTTTTTTATTACCATATACAAAACTGTAGATGTCAAAAGATTAAATTGCCACATTAAAAGTTATAACCTCATTAACCAACAAGAGGCACTTGCTTACTCCATTGTTTTTGAAAGCATCTGTAGTATTTTACAGAACATTTAACCCTTTAGGCCTCTGGGCCTTTCTCATTAAGATAACCATCACGTCTAGTAACACAAAATCATTAGACATTTTAACTTTCGGACATTTATATCAGCAGCATTTTATATTATCAAAACTTAAAATTTAGCACCACTTCACATATTGACAGTACTTTTGATATAATCCAAGTAGCCAACAGACACATGAAAAAATGTTCAAGATCACTAGCCATCAGTGAAATGCAAATCTAAACCACAATGAGATTTCACCTCACCCCAGTTAGAATGGCTCTCATACAGAAATTAACAAACAACAAATGCTGGTGCGATTGTGGGGAAAAAGGAAACCTAATCCACTGTTGGTGAAATGTAGACTTGGAAAACCATTATAGAAGGCAGTTTGGAGACACGTCAGAAATCTGAATGTAGTCCTACCATATGAGCTAGCCATCCCACTCCTGGGAATTTACCCAAGGGAAATAAAATCAGCATATGCAAGAGTTATCTGCATTCCCATGTTTATTGCAGCTCAATTTATAATAGCTAAGACATGGAATCAACATGAATGTCCATCAACTAAGACTGGGTAAAGCAATTTTGGGATATGTACTCTATGGAATACTACACAGTGGTAAAAAAAGGTGAAATCTGATCATTTGCAACAAAATGGATGAATCTGGAAAACATCATACTTAGAGAGAAATAAGCCAGTCTCAAAGGGTCAAAACCATATGTTCTCCATGATCTGTGATAACTAACAGAGCACCTAAAATGAAAGCTATATAAATCAAACTGTCACTATGAGAATCAATGACTTAAACAACCTTTGTCTTATCTGTTGAGGAACAGTTTTTAATTATTTTTAATTATTTTTATTTTTTCCTACTTAATAACATTGGTTGAACTCTTTCTTTATCATAGAATTAATCATATGTGTATAAAGTCAATTGAAAGTAGATCCCTATAAAAATAAAGGTGGGAATAAGAGAGAGAGGAACTGTATAGTTTTGCATACATCCCCATGGACTTACTTCTAAGGGTAAACCTAAAATCTCACTCTGATACTCCAAATCCCATGAAACTGGGTGCTAATAATGCCATCTTACATGTTGAAGTGATCATATTATGTTTAATTGATCATATAGATAGGATTAAGTGTCAGAGGGATTATATAAATATGATCAAGTGTTTGGTAATAACAACAGAGAGAATTAAAATGGAGAGAATGTTACAACATGGGAAGCAGTCCACACAAAAGACTTATAGAATGACAGGTGTCCTAAGCAGCAAACAGTGTGTATATTTTCAGGGATAGCCCTATCATACAAAATGGCATTGGTATTTATAACTTGCTGGTCAGCTCTGTTTCCGTTTTAAATATCACTCTTATTTTTTATTAAACTATTTCTAGATGGCATTGTGTTTTTTGAGAGGTAGAGAGAAATGGAGAGAAAGAGATGGTTGAGAAACCAACCTTTCACTGCTTCACATCTCAGTGCCCACAGTAGCTGAGCCTGAACTGAGGCCAGAGCCAGGAGCCAGGAAAAATACTGACTGAAAGTGACCCAATATCTCTGAGTCATCACCACTCACTGAAAGGTTTTATTTCCTGGGAATCTGGGGTCAGGGGTCAGAACCAAATTACAAACCCAAATACTGTCATGTGGAACAAGGTGATTTTTTTGGTAAATAAATCCACTTTATTGCAGAATCTATAGCAGAAGCAACAAGAAACTTAAAAATTTAATAGAAAAAAGATCTGACTATATAATAGCAACAGAAGTTGTACATAGAAAAAAAGCTGACAAAGACATACAAGAGTTTTATCACCAAATTAGGAAATGTTTTTGAAGGATATTTAAAAATCAACATAATATTAATATATTGGATGACAGAATTTTATAAAGATGTCATAGCTCCCCAGATTGAACCTATAAATTTAACTCAGCAAAATACCAAAAAAGATTTTTAGTGGAACTCGACAAACTGAAACTAAAGTTAGAATAGAAGTCCAAAAAGAGATAGTACAATTCTAAAAATGAACAAAGGTACACACCCTTCTACATATCAAAACTTTTTATTACACCACAGTAAGTAAGAGTGTGGCATTGGCTCAGAATTGGTTTGATCAGTGGAAAAGGACAAACTGAGGAAATATCCATGCATATATGGAAACTGTACAATCATGGAACAAGGTGATCTTAATTGCTGGACTAGTTGCCTAAACAACAACGGTTTTTAGTTTTGCTTATTTTACAATGTTGGAATGCAACTTCCTTTTGATTACAAAGTTGAAAATGTGAAGAAATGCATGAGAAAAATTTCAGGATCCCCTAGAACTGCATTGGTTCTTTAAAGCTTTCAAAGAATTTTTATCAGGTTTTATGAGAATAATATAGTACTTGGGGAGGAAGATGCAGCCCAGGAGCCCTGCACTGGAGGCCAAGATGGAGAAGATCTCCACAGCCACCATGACCTTCCCCTTGGTGCTGTGGTAGACAGGCAGGAAGGTCACCCAGACACTGCAGAACACCAGCATGCTGAAGGTCAGGAACTTGGCTTCATTGAACGTGTCAGGTAGGTTCCTGGCTAGGAAAGCCACAGTAAAGCTGGCCAAGGCCAAGGAGCCCAGGTAACCCAAGACACAGTAGAAGGCAGTGACTGAGCCCTTGTTGCACACCAGGATGATGTGGTCAGGCTCAGAATGTGCATCTAACTCAATAAAGGGAGGAGAAATTCCCAACCAGATGACACAGAGAGCCACTTGGATCAAGGAGCAGATGGGAATGATGAAGTTAGAAGCTCCTGATACCAGCAATTGCCTGATAGTTCTTCCAGGTTTTGTAACTTTGAAGGCCAGAATCACAGTGATGGTCTTGGCCAGCACGGTGGAAACTGCCACTGTGAACACAAGACCAAATGTTATTTGCTGGAGGAGACAGGTGGCTGTGTTGGGACGGCCAAGGAAGAGTAAGGAGCAGAGGAAGCACAGGAGGAGGGTGATGAGCAGGATGTAGCTGAGGGTCCTGTTATTGGCCTTGACGATGGGAGTGTCTCGGTGCTTCACAAAGACCCAGAGGACTGCAGCTGTGAGGACAGAGAAGCACAGAGCCACACAGGCCAGAGCCATCCCCAGGGCATCCTCAAAGGCTAAGAATGTCACCAGCTTGGGGAGGCAGCGGTTTCTCTCCATGTTTGTGTACTCGTGATCTGCACACGGGATGCACTGCTCTGCGTCTGCGGAGAAAAGGAAGACTGTTTCCACTTCACAATTTGCTCCTTTTTCCCTGTTAAGGAAAATGGTCACCTTTGCAATGTCATAGTGAGTCCAGCCTGCTCTAATGTATACCAGGAAACACTAAAGGATATTTCTGCACTCCTGACCCTGAGAGAATGCTCATCTCTAGGTGTAGGAAGCTCACTGAAACAAGCTCCTTAGCACATGGGGCTCTGGGGACTCATTTTGTCACTCAGAGATATTTCTTTCAGTGCTTTATTTTCTCAAAGTGATGAATTTCCTATATTTCATATGGGCACAGATTCTTCCAAACCCTCTTCTCTCTTTTTTTTTTAACTTTTATTTAATGAATATAAATTTCCAAAGTACGACTTATGGATTACAATGGCTTCCCCCCATACCATCCCTCCCACCCACAACCCTCCCCTTTCCCACTCCCTCTCCCCTTCCATTCACATCAAGATTCATTTTCGATTCTCTTAATATACAGAAGATCAGCTTAGTATACATTAACTAAGAATTTAACAGCCAAACCCTCTTCTCTACTGTCCCTAGTGTTTTTCTCTGGAGAAGCTTGTATTCACATGGGTTATAATATTTGTCTGGGGTCACCAGGTTTAAGGTTTTTTAAATACTCAAATGTAGATGACCTATTTAAAATATCTATCACTCCTAGGACTTCCATACATCAGTCAATACTCTAATTTCCTGCATGGACTCATCACTCTTTCCATATAAATGTTGATATGATGTGATTGCATAGAAAAGAATTATTGCTACTAGTTTTTTAATGGTTATATGGGAGTAAGTGATATTTTCATCACAGTATTGAAAGAGAACTTTCCACTCCTTTTCACTGAAAGCATGGCTTGTTCATCATTTTAGTCATGTGAACACCACATGGACACCACATTGTCTCTGTTGAAGTAATACACTTCTGCAGCAGCAGCATGAAGGAAGTCATTAAGAATAGGCCAGCTGGTGAACATGTGACTATCTCAATCATATGTCAATTTAATAAACAAAAGTAGATTCAGTGTTGTGGCATGATATGTAAAGCCACCAGCTGCAATGCCAGCATCCCTTATGGACATTATTTTGTGTTCCAGTAATCCATTTCCAAGCCAGCTCCCTGCTAATGGCCTGGAAAAAGCCGCAGAAAATGGCCCAAGTACTTGGGTCCCCTGAACCCATGTGGGAGACCCAAATGAACCTGGCTGCTGGCTTCTGCCTTGCAAAACCTGGTCAATTATGTATGTCTGGGGCATGAATACGTAGGTGGAATCTCTCTCTATCTATCTCTATCTCTCTATCTCTCTCTCCTCTGTAACTCTTTGAAATTAAAAAAATTTTTTAAAAGAAAGGAAATGATATTAGTTGGCCCACACTTGTAGTAAAGTGCTACTCAGGAATTAAGTTGGTAATCATACAAGCTTCATGGACTGGAGGTGTTATGTAGTTGCATAGTTATTAGGATGTTTTGTCTGTATATTTCACTCTTATTTTCTCTTATTCTAGTATAGAAAACAAAAGGATAAAGGGAGGCATTCATTATGTGTACTACACAGCATGCACTATGTAAAAGACCTAGCACAGAAAGTAATACAGTATTCCCATCACAATTCCTGTGAAGTAGCTCCCTGTTTCTCAGTTGTGTATGAAAAAGTTTTGATTTCAAGATTTCTAGAAATCCTTAGGGAGCCTTAACAATCTCTCATCTGATATTTTTTGTTCATACATTAGTAGGCCTACTAGAAGATCTCAGATTGAGACAGTCTCATCTAGCACTGGATGGAAAAGAAGGATATCAGAGAGAATCAGTGTCAGTGTTGAGCTAGAGAGGATGAGCACCACCAGACTACTGAGATGGCGAGAGTGAGCATACAACAAGTGTATGGAAAGAGTGAGTGAAAGTGTGCATAGAGAACAATGGGGCACTCTTATCCCATTATAAAGATTTCTTGGTTTCCTTTTTATCTAGAAATAGTTAAGATGGTGGAGTTTTCATAGTGAGTTATATGTTTTCTACCTGTATGATTGGAAATGTCTCTCTCTGGACAAATAACACAAATATAGCAGCAGACAGCTCTTCCTTCCTGTGGCATTTTCCTGAATCCTGGACCACACCTCTGGCTACATAAAGACTGAGGAGTCTGAGGGGGAAAGAGAAGCAATGGTCATTGTTTTGCACATCATTAGGCACTGTGATGTCTCTATTTGCCCCATCACTTTGAAGGTCATCACTGTCTTCCCCAGTCTGTGTCTTGTTGATTTTTTCATACATCTAATTTGTAGTTTCTATGATGCTCGTTCCAGGTTTGTCAATTGTCTACCAAACATTATGAGGGTACCTGATTGCTGTAATTTTGTTCATCACCAGATCTACTCTTCTAGGCCTTTGTTTCTTTCTACTACATTTCTTCCTCTGAAATCTTTAACATTCAGATTATTATTCTGTAATGTGTATATTTGAGACTGAGTATTCAGAAAAAGACAAGGCCACAGAGAAATGATGAGCAAATGTTATAAAGATATGGATTGTGTATCTAATCCTCTTCTGGACTTCTAGATTCAGGAAGAGTATCAATTTCAAGAAACTAAGAATGCATTTTGGGCATAAAGCATCATAGTTATACAAATCACCCACAAAATTCCCTGGGGGATTTCAACAGTAGAATGATGATAAAACATTTGACCACAGCTGTGAGATGCTATGCAGAAAAGAAACTGCACTTATTGGCAACTACAATGACAATGCAAATGAGAATGCTTTCTACAAATAGGCGATGGATAGATCAACTTATAATTTACTTGTGTTCATGCTGCATTAAAATATATGACTCTCACCATATTTAAGATATCACTGTTCTTCTAAATCTATATATCTGTATATATATACATGAAATGAAATTTTTTTCACCTTATATAAATAAAAAAATGAAAAAAATTAGAATTTCTGTACACATTTTTGTACATATTTTGTAATTTTATGTCTATATACTGATCTCTATCTCTATTCATTAACATTGCTCATTTTAGTCACTCAACATCTGAATACATAATTATTTCCAAAGTAAAAACAGCAATAACTAATACAAATGTAAACTTCTAATACACATTGTCTCATATATGTGTAAGGGACACCATATCTTTTGAAGCCAAGATGATAATTGAGAATTGAATACTTATTTAAAATCTTGCACTTAATCTCCTCTCAGACCCTCTGTATGTATCGAATATTTCCATGGATCCACACCTTCTTGAATGCTATAGGCCATTCTATCATCTCTTCATTGAGGACCAAGCCTTGGTCATGTGCACTCTCAGAGGAGAACTCCCCGATTTTAATCAGCAAACGAAATCCAGCAGGAAACTTCACAATGTTGTGGATATCGTAGTGTGCCACACGGTGTCTCATTTCATGGAAGGAAACATCCTCCCCAGCACTGTTGGTAAATTGGATTTTCTTCAGGAGTGGATGAAGCTGGAGGGGAGGCACAATTGGAAAGAGGGAGAACATTCAGATGAGAGGTGGGAGGTGCATATGACTGAGAAATCCTTCTTTTGCCTCCTGTGTATCCTCAGGGTTTCTATTTGGTGGAGGCTGACTTTTGTCTGAATGATCATCATATCATGTGTTCAAATGCAGGGAATTCTACCTCCCCCTCTGTTAAAATGATGGGGACCATTTGAATCCAGAGAAATCACAGATGTGACCCACAGGGTGGCTGACCATGAAAGATTGTTAGAGGTTTAGGAAAGCTCATCTTAGTTTTCCAAATGTGAACAACATGGCTTTATATATGCAATATCTTGATTATTGTGATGGTTCCATAGGTGAGTGCAAACATGTGCACTTTTCAAAATATACCCCCTCACAAATAGAGTGGAATCCTCTCTTTGACAAAAAATGGATGCAACTGGAGACCTTTATGCTTATGTTTACCGAAATAAACCAGTTCCAATCAGAAAATACAATTTGTTTTGTGTGATGTGTAGTAGTTACTATAGATGCAAAGAAAAACCCCACCATGTATCAAAATGAAACTGATATCTTGGATTTCATTTTTGCTTATCATCTTGTGTAAGTTCCTGTGGAACATGGTCTTTCTACTTTTCATTTATGAATCATTATGATTACTGTGGCATTATACCTGTGATTATAAAGCAAATTGAAATGCTATTTTTGCAAAAATTAAAAAGTAAGGAAGGAGGGGAGAATGAGAGAGGGAGGGAAGGAAGAATGGATATCTTCTTAGAAATGTATCTATGAAATGCATGAAATCTATTATGTTCATATCAATATTTTTTTTTACTTTAGCAAAATTTGGGCTGGCCTTGTGGTGCAGCAGGTGAAGCTGCTGTCCACAGTGCCCAGCATCCCTGTGAGTCTGGTTAAATTACTGTTGTTCTACTGCTGGTTCAGGTCTCTGCCAATGTACATGGGAAAGCATTAGATGATGGTCCAACTGCTTGGGCCCCTACACTCACGAATGAGAGACCCAGTTGAAGCTCCTGCATCCTGGCTTAGAGTGTTCCCAGTCCTGGTCCTTGCAGCCATTGTGGAGTGAATCAGCAGATGCAAGATCTGTCTCCTTTTCTCTTTCTGTCTCTCACTCTCTTACAGTAACTTTGATTTTCAAATAATTTTTTAGAGTTTAACAATATTGAATAAAATATCAGATGAATTCTATTAAATAAATTAGAAATCCAAGCATAATTTTTCATAATAAAGTTTCTGGAACCTGACATCCCTGGCTGCTGCTGGCAAGTCCAAACTGATAAACATGTGTATACAGTTTATGTGTAATTCTATTTGTATAACATTTTCAATGAAATAATATCAGAAAACTTCCAACAGAGGCAAATTGATAGAAACAACCAAATTCAGCAAATACTCAGGAGCCCCAATAAATTAGACCAGAAGAGAAATTCACTGCAACACATTGTGGCAACACTCAGCTCAGTGAAACACAAAGAAGAAATCCTAAATTGTGCCAGAGAGAAACAATGAATCATATTCAAGGATAATTTAATCAGACTCACCCCAGACTTATCGCAAACACTACAGGCAAGGAGATAATGGCATGATATATTCCAAGTTTTAAAAGACAAACAATGACAACCTAGAATAATTTACCTTGAAAAGCTAGCGTATATGAATGTAGGGAAAATATAGATTTTCCACGACAAACAGAAACTGAAGGAATTTGTATCCTCACATCCAACCCTACAACACTGGCTCAAAGACGTGCTGCACACAGAAATACAGAAACAAGAACTTCACTACAAAAAAAGGTGAATGTAGAAAATGAGCCAACTAAACTACAAACAAATCTCAAAATACATAAACAGCTTGTTTAAGGAACCATGACTGGAAAAAGACAGTATTTAATAATAGTCACAGTGAATATAAATGGCCTCAACTCGACAACCAAGAGAGACAGATTAGCGGATTGAATTAAAAAAGAGAATCTATCTATATGCTGCCTTCAGGAAACACACCTTATCAGCAAAGATGCATGTAGACTGAAAGTGAAAGGGTGGAAAAAGATATTTCAAGCTAACAGAAATCAAAAAAGAGCTGGGGTGGCCATCCTAATATCAGACAAAATAGACTTTAACACAAAAACTATTAAAAGAGGGAAAGAAGGGCATTATATAATGATTAAAGGATCAATCCAACATGAAGACATTACTATTATAAATGTATATGCACCTAATTACAGGGCACCTGATTACTTGAAAGAATTACTAAAGAACTTAAAGGGAGATATAGATTCAAATACAATGGTTACAGGGGCATTCAGCATGCCACTCTCACCAATGGACAGATCAACCAGACAGAAATTCAACAAGGAAACAACAGAGTTAATTGATGCTATAGACCAAATAGACCTAATAGATATCTTCAGAACCTTTCACCCCACAGCCACAGAGTTCACATATTTCTCCTCAGTACATGGAATGTTCTCTAGGATTGACCATATGCTAGGCCATAAAGGGAGCCTCAATAAATTCAAAAAAATTGAAACTATACCATGCAGCTTCTCAGACCATAGCACAGTGAAACTCAAAATCAACAACCCAAGAATCTCTACACCATATGCAAATACATGGAGAATGAACAACATGATTCTGAATGAACAGTGGGTCGTAGAAGAAATCAAGAGAAATCAAAGGATTTCTAGAAACAAATGAAAATGACAGCACAACCTATCAAAACTTGTGGGATACAGTAAAAGCAGTGCTAGGAGGAAAGCTTATAGCAATTGGTGCCTACATCAAGAAACTGGAAAGGAACCAAACAAACGACCTCTCAATGCACCTCAAGGATATAGAGAAACAGCAGCAAATCCAACCCAAACCCAGCAGAAGAAAAGAACTACTATAGATTAGAGAAGAAATAAACAGAATTGAAACAAACAAACAAAAAACAATACAAAAGATCAACAAAACCAGGAGCTGGTTCTTTGAAAAAATAAACAAAATAGACACACCATTGGCCCAACGAACTGAAAAAAGGAGAGAGAAGACCCAAATCCATAAAAGTAATGATGGTAATAGAAATGTAACAGCAGACACAACAGAAATAAAAAGAATCATCAGAAACCATTACAAAGAGATGTAAGCTAACAAATTGGGGAACCTGGAAGAAATGGATAGATTCCTGGACCCTTACAACCTTCCTAAACTGAGCCATGAAGATATACAAAACATAAACAGACCCATAACCATGAAAGAAATTGAATCAACAATAAACGCACTACCGAAAAAGAAGAGCCCAGGACCGGATGGCTTCACCGCTGAATTCTACCAGACTTTTGAAGAGCAACTAACCCCAGTTTTTCTCAAGTTATTCAAAACAATTGAAAGGGGGGAATCCTCCCAAATTCTTTCTATGAAGCCAATATCATCTTTTCTTTTTGACAGGGGAGTTAGACAGTGGGAGAGAGAGACAGAGAGAAAGGTCTTCCTTCCATTGGTTCACCCCCTAGATGGCCACTGCAGCCGGCGTGCTGCACCGATCTGAAGCCAGGAGCCTGGTGCTTCCTCCTGGTCTCCTGTGTGGGTGCAGGGCCCAAGCACTTGGCCATCCTCCACTGCCTTTCTGATCCACAGCAGAGAGCTGGACTGGAAGAGTAGCAATAAGGCAGAACCGGCACCCCAACCGGGACTAGAACCTGGGGTTCCAGTGCTGCAGGCAGAAGATTAGCCTAGTGAACCATGACACTGGCCACCAATATTTCCTTAATTCCTAAGCCCTGGAAAGACACAGCAGAGAAAGAAAACTACAGACCTATCTCCCTGAGGAACATAGATGCAAAAATACTAAACAAAATCCTGGCAAACCGAATCTAACTACACATCAGAAAGATCATTCACACGAACCAAGTGGGATTTATCCCTGGTATGCAGGGATGGTTCAGTGTTCGAAAATCAATCACATTAACAAGTTGAGAAACTGAAATCATATGATTATCTCAATAGCAGCAGATAAAGCATTTGACAAAATACAATACCCTTTCATGATGAAACTTTAAGCAAATTGGGGTTAGAAGGAACATTCCTCAACACAACTAAGGCAATTTATGATAAACTCATGGGCAGCATAATATTGAATGGGGAACAGTTGGAGGCATTTCCATTGAAACTGACATCAGACAGGGATGCCCACTCTCACTATTGCTATTCAATATAGTCCTAGAAGCTTTAGCCAGAGACATTAGGCAAGAAAAAGAAATTAAAGGAATACAAATGGGAAAAGAGGAAGTCAAACTATCCCTGTTAGCAGATGACATGATCCTATGTATAGGGAATCCCAAAAATTTTTGTGAGAGAATATTGAATCTCATAGAAGAGTTTGGTAATGTAGCAGGATACAAAGTTAATGCTCAGAAATCAGCAGGCTTTGTATACACTGACAATGCTGTGGCCGAGGAAGAACTTCTAAGATCAATCCCAATGACAATAGCCACAAAATATTAAAGTACGTTGGGATAAATTTAACCAAGGATATCAAAGACCTCTATGAGGAAAATTACAAAACACTAAAGAAAGAAATAGAAGAAGAAACAAAAAATGGAAAAATCTGCCAAGTTCATGGATTGGAAGAATCAATATCATCAAAATGTCCATTCTCCCAAAAGCAATTTACAGGTTCAACGCAATACCAATCAAAATACCAAAGTCATTCTTCACAGACCCAGAAAAAATTATGCTGAAATTCATATGGAGAAACAGGAGACCGTGAATAGCTAAAGCAATCCTTTACAATAAAAACAAAGCCGGAGTATTCACAATTCCAGAATTCAAGACATACTACAGGGCGGTTATTATCAAAACAGCCTGGTACTGGTTCAAAAACAGATGGACAGACCAATGGAAACACTGGAAATCAATCCAAACATCTATAACCAACTCATATTCAACAAAGGAGCTAAAACCAACACCCTGGAACAGGGACAGCCTCTTCAACAAATGGTGCAGTGAAAACTGGACGTCAACATGTTGAAGTATGAAACAAGACCCCTATCATACACCATATACAAAAATCCACTCACCATGGATCAAAGATCTAGATATATGCCACGACACCATGTAATTAATTGAGAGCATAGGGGAAACCCTTCAAGACATTGGAACAGGCAAAGAATTCTTGAGAAAACACCAGAGGCACAGGTAGTCAAAGCTAAAATAGCCAAATGGGATTACCTCAAATTGAGAAGTTTCTTTACAGCAAAAGAAATAGTCAGGAAAGTGAAGAGGCAACCAACACAATGGGAGAAATTATTTGCAAACTACATGACTGGTAAAGAATTAACAACTAGACTCTATAAAATGATCAAGAAACTCCACAACAACCAACCCAATATAAAGATGGGCCAAGGACCTTAACAGACATTTTTCAAAGGAGGAAATCCAAATGGCCAACAGACTCATGAAAAAATGCTCAGGATCTCTAGCCATCAGGGAAATGCAAATCAAAACCACAATGAGGTTTCACCTCACCCCAGTTAGAATGGCTCACATACAGAAATCAACTAACAACAGATGCTGGCGAGGATGTGGGGAAAAAGGGACACTAATCCACTGTTGGTGAGAAGGCAAGCTGATAAAGCCACTATGGAAGACAGTTTGGAGAGTCCTCAGTAACCAGAATATAGCCTCACCACATGACCCAGCCATCGCACTCCTTGGAATTTACCCAAAGGAAATTAAACTGGAAAAAAAGAGCTGTGTGCACTTCAATGTTTATTGCAGCTCAATTCACAATAGCTAAGACATGGAATCAACCTAAATGCCCATCAACAGATGACTGGATAAAGAAATTATGGGATATGTACTCTACAGAATACTGTACAGCTGTTTAATAAATGAAATCTGGACATTTGCAACAAAATGGAGGTATCTGGAAATCATCATGCTGAGTGAATTAAGCCAGTCCCAAAGGGACAAATATCGTATGTTCTCACTTATCAATGACAACTAACTGAGCACCAAAGGGGAAACTTGTTGAAGTGAAATGGACACTATGAGAAACAATGACCAGATAAGCCCTTGTCTTGACTGTTGAGGAAGAACTTACTATTTTATTCCTTTTAGTATTTGTTTGTTCTGCTTAATACCATTGGTCGAACTCCTTAGTTAATACACATTATTCTTAGGCATTTAAAATTAACAGAAAAGTGATCTCTGTTAAATATAAGAGTGGGAGTAAGAGATTGAGGAGATATACAGTTTGGCACATGCACACCCAACTTACCTCCAATGGTAGAGTTAGAAATATGCCAGGGGATTCCAATTCAATCCCATCAAGGTGGCATGTACCCATTCCATCTCACTTGTTAAAGTGATCATTTTAAGTACATAATTGTCAAAGAGATTTCACAAATAAGACCAGTGTCTGCAAATAATGAAGGATAGAATTAAAAGGGAGACAATGATCCTACGGGGGAAGCAGGATGCACAGCACCCTCATAGAATGGCAAATGCCCTGAACAGCACTCCAGACTCAGAATCAACCCTTGGGACATTCGGATCTGGCTAAAAGGCCCATGAGAGTCTCACAGGCATGGAAAGCCAAGGCACTGTGGCAAAAATGACCTGAATGAAACATCTTGGTGAATGAGATCCCAGCAGAAAGAATGGGCCATCAAAGAAGGAGGTACCTTTCTCTGAACGGAGGAATGGACCCCCACTGTGATATGGCCTTGACTAAATAAGATCAGAGTTGGTGAACTCAGGAGGCTTCCAAAGCCTTGACATCTCATGGCAAGAGCCTCGGGTGATTACTGACGTTATAGATAAGAGTGTCAATTGTTAACTCAACAATGGGAGTCACTGTGCACCTGCTCTCCATGTAGGATTTCTGTCCTTAAAGTGTTGTACTATAAGAATTAACAGTAAAACAACTAGTTAAACAGTACTCTATATCTTGTGCAGTTGGGTGGGTGCAGTCTGTTGAAATCTTTACTTAGTATATACTAAGTTGATCACCTGTATATAAAGATAATTGAAAATGAATCTTGATGAAGAGTGGGATGGGAGAGGGAGTGGGAGATAGGGCGGTTATGGGTGGGAGAGAGGTTATGGGGGAAAAAGCCACAACAATGCAAAAGTTGTACTTTGTAAATTTTTATTTACTATATAAAAAAACAATACCCTGATGGCAGTTAGTATCTGAACAGTGTGTATTAACTCTTGACTTTCAGAGTCTCCTGACACCTGTTGTGGGACAGCCAATTCTTTAAAGGACTATCATTATGTCTTCACTAATTTGAACCAAGAACTTCATAAATATTCTCTAATCTTATATTTGTGAGCTTTCTTGGCCAGTACATTTACTTTTAAAATGTGAGTCTATCAAATCACAAATAGGATGTTAATTAATATTGGATGTAATCCCAGAAATTACATAGTGAAGTAAACATGCTGAAGTCAATTTAATTTACATATATGTATAATATAGAATATATATTTATCTTCTGTGAGACATTCAATTTATTTGATTTACTCAAATAATTTGATCAGGATATTTTCCTGTTTCAGAGTCATTTTATGATAAAATGTGCACCCCACTGCTATTTGCCCCAGTAATGTCTCACAGAGGGCGTGGACTACAGCACACCTGTAGGGGATATTATTATAGGGTATATAGTTGTTGTGGGATATGTCCAGAGTCCACATTTCCTAACCTTACATACATTCCAACAAAAAGAGTACTTTTGATCATTTTTTCTTCCCAGTCTTTGTAATGAGCTGTGTTAGGATATTCTAAACATTGCACTATACTCTGAGAAACATTATTCTATGATATGTCATTATAGAATCTGTATTGAAAATGTTACATGGAGCTAAACTCACTCCCTAGAATAAGTCTCATCAACAAATGCAGACATTTGGATTTCCACACGCAGAGATTTTAAATCAGACTGCTACCTCATACACTATACAAATATCAACTCATAATTTATCAAGAATCTAAACCTAAAACCTGAAACCATCAAATTACAAGAGGCAAACATTGGGGAAACACTACAAGTCATTTCCCTGGCAAGAATTTCTTGGATAAAATCCAAGAAGTAAAGGCAATAAAGGCAAGAATATACATTAAGCTAAGTAACTTCTCATCAGCAAAAGACACACTCATCTAAGTGAAGACACTACTTACAAAATGGGAGAAAATATTTGCAAAACATGGGTCCAATAAAGTATTATGCTCCAGATGTATAAGGAATTCAAGAAACTTAACAACAACATAACCAACAATCTAGTTAAGAAATGAACTAAGGATATGAACAGGGATTTTTTCACAGGATGAAATACAAATGGCCAGGAGAAACATGAAAAGATGTTCATGATCACTAACCATTAGGGAAACACCAATAAAAACTAACGTGGGATTTCACTTCACCCCACTTTGAATGAATATTATCCAAAATTTGAAAAATAGCAAATTCTGCTGAGGATCAGGAAAAAAAGGTACCCCAATACAATGTTGATGGGAAGGATTATAAGCCAGTACAAACATAATGGAAGACAATAGAGGAACTCCTCAGAAAACCAATATTGGTTCTACAACATGGCCTAGTTGTCTCTGACCTGGGAATGTATCCAAATGAATTGAAATCAGCACAAGAAAGAGTCTCCTACACTCCCAATTTTATAGAAGTTCAATGCACAATACATAAGATGTAGAATCATCTAGATGTCCATCAACTGATGACTGGGAGAAGGAATTGGTGAGATACTTATATATATATAAAAAATATCATATATCATCTCATATATATGAATATTACACAGCCATGATTAAGAATGAAATCTTGACATTTAAAACTGGAGGTCATCACAGTAAATTACATAAGCCAGAGCTATAAAAATATTATGTTTCCTCTCATTTGTGTTAGTTCATATATGAGTATAAAATTGTGTGGACTTTAGATAATTTCCTATGTAATTATAAGTAGTGCTTTGCTAAATCAAATCATAGGCCGGCGCCATGGTTCAATAGGCTAATCCTGCACCTAGCGGCGCCGGCACACTGGGTTCTAGTCCCGGTTGGGGTGCCAGATTCTGTCCCGGTTGCCCCCCCTTCCAGGCCAGCTCTCTGCTGTGGCCCGGGAGTGCAGTGGAGGATGGCCCAAGTGCTTGGGCCCTGCCCCCCATTGGAGACCAGGATAAGTACCTGGCTCCTGCCTTCGGATCAGCATTGTGCACCAACCGCGGCAGCCATTGGAGGGTGCACCAATGGCAAAGGAAGACCTTTCTCTCTGTCTCTCTCTCTAACTGTCCACTCTACCTGTAAAAAAAATTAAAAAAAATCAAATCATATTAATGACAATATGCTCCTCTTTCACACATTAAAAAAATTAAGTGGTTGCTACTGAGGACTCTTGCAGTACTAGTAATGCTATGTTCTTAATATGGGTGTTGGTTGTAGTATGATCAGATGACCAAAAACTCTTTTATCTGTAGACTTATGTGCATTTCTTAGCATAGAGACGATTTTAAAATTATTTTTAACATGTTGCATAGCAGAAAATATATTTAAAATGTTCCAGAGCAGATAACAAATTCTCCACACATAGATAACAATTACAGATGTATCTATGCCCAGTCTGTTGTGAAAGAACCCACTTTCCATTATACCTGATCATGGCAATCTCAACATGAAAACATGGTCATGTGGTACTGCAATAAAAATACCTGAGGATGCAAACAGATGTTCAATGCATGTCCTGTTCTGGGAGATGTTTACCTGCCATGGAAAAATCCTTGGTTGAGTTGCATCTCCTGGAGATCCCTTTTCTATTTGCTCTGAAAGCATCTTATGGAGGGCATGGGCCACTGCATACACAGCATTGTAGATGAAATAGCTGGAGTCAGATATGGTCAGCATGTCAATGAGTCCTGGGAAAAACTCAAAGGAAGCATTTGGTGGGCAGACTCCAATTGTTCCACAAAGTGGCCCAGGAGGTAAGCAGTGAAAAGCATGAAACCATAGTTGACTGAGGAAGAAATCTTCTGGGTAGTGGGAAGGGTCCACTGTCTTGACAAAGTGGTTGAGGCCAGGGATTTCCCCCTTGTGGTGTGAAAATGAGAAGCCTCCATGAAAAGAGTGCAGCATGTGGTCTGTCTCATGCACAACAATCTCCCACTTTGCAGCCATGATCCACACCTTCCCCAGGGTTAAATAGTATTTGCTTAGAAATTCCATGGTATAGAGACTCCTCACATCACCATATAGAATATGGTGCATATAGAATATGCACATTTGCTGATGAAATTCGAAGCCTTGCTAGGAAGGATATTTCAGTTTTTTCATATCTTGACTTAGTGTCTGGGAGCTTTATTATATTGGCCCAGCAGACACCTTCCTTTACCATCTCAGTTTGAATATCCTGTAGGAACTTCTCTCCTTTAATATCATTAGACACAAAGATCACCACCCAAATCCAGCCAAAATGTAGTAGCAAGGAGAGCATTCCACGGGCCAGATAGCTGTCACTAGTGGCCATCTGATAGAGCGATGGAAACTTGTCCCTCTCACTTAGCATGGGATCAAAAGGGCCATATGTGATCTGAATGGAAAGAAAACCGCTGTGATTTGACTTTTGTGGGTTTTGAGTTTTCTGTCTTGGGAAGTGATTTTGAAAAAGTCCTATGAAGAAATATCATGTGTAGGCATAAGAAAATTCTATCACTTGGGATCAGAGTAACTGTGCTTCAATGCCTGTTGCTTTTAGCAGAAGAAATGTACATCTTCATGCATAGCATGAAAGATAATGTGTAAGATACCCACGTTCTTCATGTATATTTAGGAAGAAGAAGGCATGTATTTTGGATTCAGAATCACCAGGACATTGGTCTTTCCCACCTCTCACCTCATGAGACATGTGGAGAACAGCTCCCACTGCAACTGGTGTTGTGTGTTTCCTCGGGGACAAATATTTTGTGTGGGTTGATCTCCTGATACTTTGAATTTCATTTGTTTTCACAGCATATCCTAAATTGTCTTGAAAAATATATTCACCTATCATCTCTGAGTATAGATAAAATTGCTTTTCAGACCACAGCTATTGCAGTCTGAGCTTGATGGTAATGTGTGCAGATTGCTACCTCTTTGTAGTGGGTCTCCATTCAGAATCCTGGAAATGTGAATACAGGCCCTGGGAAGCAGCTTGATTGGTTATGTGATTGGTTTCCTAACACCTACTTGTAAGATTTGGATTGAGTACTTTCACCATGGCCAGTGAGCACCAGCACTATGGTGGCTATTTTCTGATTATACTGTGAATGGGTGCACACTGTCTGCCTGTATTTGTTTTTTATTCTGTCAAACACTAAGATCTAAATCTCTTAGTTGCACATGGAAGTGAACTGGGAGTCCTGTGAAGGAATCTGCTGAATGTGAGGAAGTCAGGATTAGGTATAGGAGAGGGTAAAATCACATCTAAGTGCAACTCAGCCCCAAACACTCCTTGATGATCTTCGGGACTGTCATGGACCTCAGTGGGTTCCAAATGGAAAGTCTGGGCCCAGGTCTTGATATACCCATGTCTAACATTGAGTATTCCTAGGATATCTCTGCGCTGTGGGTATTTCCTGTCAATAGTCAGCAGTCAACTTTCTCAGCAGGTGGGGATGGATACATTGGGCCTAGACAGTGATCTCTCTCACAATCTAAGGAATTCCCCAGAATCTGTTTCAAATAGTGGTGCTATATGTGCAGTTGTGTTCCACATGACCTTTGCTTCAAATTGGACATGTCTGGTGGGAGATGGCAGAATTTCTCACCAGAATTCACAACAGATTTACCTGTGGGGTTTTGTACAGCTCCAACATTGTTCCAATTTCAGCTGAAAATGCTGACATGGTTCCAGCAATTATGGCAACTGTCTTGCCTTGTGTCTGGCAGGTGAAGTTAGGGATGAAATAAATGTTTCCAGTCAGCCAGTGCAGAGTGCTCCTCAGGGTGAACTGATCACTGGTAACAGAATTGTAGAGCTGGAAACCCAGGGTCAGGTTGGGGAGGAGCTGGGGGTCCTTATTGATCTCCTGGATAGCAAAGTGGAAGGCCAGCACATATTGGTAGTTCTTCCACAGCCACCTAAAGAGAGGGGCAGCATCAGGGAGAAGGGTGAGACTATGGAATTCAGAGCAACAACACAGCCACACCCTGAGGCCGCAATGGTCAGACTCAGGCTTCCACACAGTGGTGCCTCAGCTCTGACACATGGAGGAGGTGTGAGTGAGGTTCCAAGGGCTCTTAGAAGATTTTGGAATGACCCTCAGATTCCTCTGAAGCAAACTGTGTCCATGATCACACTCACCTTCCCTAGTCCTTCAGGAAAGCCTTGATGTGTCCCAACATGGGATTTCACTTTTACTTAGGGATGGAACCCAAGAGGCAAGCATCTCTGACTTGTCAGTCATTTTAGTGTTTGGAAGCATCTCTAATCTATTCACCATAGGGATTTTCATGAGCCCTTTCTGTAATTTTCTGTTATAATATACAAATACCAACAGAAGTATTTTCATTCAGTTATGTTTGTCTTGAAAATGAGCATTTCATTCAGAATTTCAAATTGTCAGAATACTTACAATGTTTATTTTAATTCACTCTTTTCCTCATGCACGAAATTCCATTTTATCTATTTCTCTATCTATATGCTACTGAAGTCTGTTTAGTTCTTAGATTTACTTATTTGAATGGCAAATTAATAGCATTAATTGAAATGTTTCTTGCTTTTAATCATTCTGCTTAAATGCAATTAATTATTTCATGAAGGGCTTTATTTTTCAGTGCTTGGTTACTTGTAGCTCTTGCTGTCAGTTGAAAGCTGAGAAGTTTGCTTCTTTTTCCCCCAAATACATGCCTGCCCAGTATTAAGTTCTGGACCGTGTACAAAGTTGATAAAAACCCTATAGAGATCATAAGCATTAGCGCTAGATATGTGTATTCATGACTGACATCTCACTCAAAACCCAAATTTTTTCAGTGTTCTTAACTCATCTTTCAAGTGTATGCAATAAGCTGCAGTGATAATAAAATAGAGATCTCTCCAAACTATTACTGTGATTCCTATAACCTTGAAACAAATTTAAAATATAAGAAATGTTTTTAGTTAGATTCCACTTAGTGATCTCGATGCTATTATTTCACAAAACATGGAACTTAAAGCAGTTTAGAATGGTGATTTGACACAGGATCCATGTTTTGAAATATGGCCTTGTTTCATAAAAATGTGCAAAAGTACTTGTGTATGAAATATTTTTTAAACTTGGAAGATGTTTAAAAATTTGATGATAAAGCAAGATTGATTTTAGAATATGATGTCTAGAGGCAGAACAAGTCTATGATTGCTTCATTGATCAATTTTGCCAAATATTAGTTTATAGGTAACACCAATGGTAAAGTTTATATTCAGAACATTGAAAAACATATATTCTTAGTAAATACATATGAAGTAATTACATTTCATCTACAAAGATGCTGGACACTTGCTGGTGGGGGAACAAGCATTTTCTAAACCTTTAACTTTATCATAATAAGAATTTTGTTTTGTAGTAGTAATATCCTTAATTAGCAGATGAAGAACATAAGGCTTGATGTCATCAACAGAGAGAAGGCACAGTCAGAACTTTATCTCCTGTCTGTAAACAGTTCTCATACTCCTTCCAGTATCTACAGTGACCATGTAATTGACCTTCCAAACTGGTACACTTTTAACAATAATATAGGATGATATTAATGAATACACAAGGCTTATTGGCATAAATAGGCTGTAGGAAGCAAACCAAGATGTGTGATCATTCTAGATAAAATAAGTCTGTCTCACATGTAGACATCCACTAATTTCATGATGCATACTGCAACCATGCATAGCGTGTTTAGTTTGTCACACGAGAGGTACTTGGTAAGTTATTTGATGAATAACCAATATTTTGTTCAGTATATCCTAACATTCATAAGGTTTAGGTTTTCCAAGTTGTGAGATATAAATCATATGAAATAAGTTATATAAAAAAGACTGAATAGAATTTTGATAATAAAGAAAAACATGTATTCTTAATAGTTACATCAATAATTTACATCAATATTTTACATCAATAATAAGTAAGCACAAGTATCTTGATACCAAATGTAGACCTAGCTGTTACAATATTATGAGAAGGGGGCCTGCAGTGTGGCATACCCCGTAAAGCTGCCGCCTGCAATGTTGGCATCCCATATGATTGCCAGTTCAGGTCCTGGCTGCTCCACTTCCAATCCAGGTCTCTGTTATGGGCTGGGAAAGCAGTAGATAGCCCAAGTGCTTGGGCCTCTGCACAAATGTAGGAGACTCCAAGGAGGCTGCTGGCTCCTGGCTTCAGATTGGCACAGCTCTGGTCATTGTAGCCAACTGGGGAATGAACCAATAGATGGAAGACCTCTCTCTTCCTCTCCTCTCTCTGTGTAACTCTGACTTTCAAATAAATAAATAAATCTTTAAAAAATAGTATGAGAAAAGTATGCTACAGGTTGATAAAAGCCACAAAATGGATAAAACATGGAAACATTGTGCAGTGAAAGGTGCCAGTCAATGGATGATAACAAATCAATTTCTATGCAGTCTCCACAACAGGCATCTATGCTTGTGGCATGGGCTCCTCCTGAGCAAAAGAGATTCTCAAAGTTCCCATACAGAATACCATAGATTAAAGAGTAAAGATTTATTTTCACGGGCAGGTTCCCAAAAGACTTCCATTGAGTAGATTGCAAGTGTTGATGTATGGGAGGCAGTGTGTATGTCAGGTGGTGGATCTCAGACAAAAACAGCTTCTCTACCAGGCACATTTGTTAGCAATGACACCTAGAGTGAGTGCCTTAGATATAACACTGTCCTCAGGCCATTCTCTGTTCCATGGGTTTTGGATGGGGCAGGCAGGGGTGGGGATGGGGATATGGGCTGGAGTTCCATTTGTCTCATTAATTTCAAGATTCTAGGAGTCTGTTCAGGATATCAGATGAATACAAAATATATCCATCTCTCTCTTCTCCCATGAAGGAGTAGAGAAAAAAGTAAAATGGAAAGGGAAGGAACACCAGCCTTCATTGATCTGCATTCCTGAAACTTCTGTGTACATTTTTTAGAATTCTTAAGCAGATTAACCAATACAAGCACACACTCACTTGCCGTCTGAACCACAGTTAACACATAACTCAATGTTGGACTTACCAGTTTACTGTCATTTTATCCTTTGGCCTGGATAAAAAAGATAACCGGACCATGTCTGATTCTGGTTCCAGGAAGTAAAGGGGGAAAAACCCACCCAGTACCAGGTCTCCATCTCTGTAGACACTTGACCTCACGGAATTATCACAGTTCCAGGGAGGTATGTCCTGTGAACTGTATAAAGGATTCAGGAGTAGGTTGAGAAAAATCACAGTAAAGAACATGTCAACTCAACCCAACATAAAGTTAAAGTCTCTGTTGATATTAGGAAAAAATTCTTTTGGATTATATCTTCTGTCTCATCCCCCTGCAGGGAGAATAGATCTCTATGTAGGCACAGCTGGTCCCAGTATTGTTGTATGCCCTCAACCTATAAACAGTGTGTGCTAGTCTACTGAGTCACACAGGGACACCGCTAGAATCACAAGGAAGACATTTCAAAGGGAGTCACAGGGCTGAGGCCTTGCCTTAATGTTCCTAAGATCAGATGAGCTCTGACTTCTATATATTTTCATTGCTAAACTTCTGTCCCATCCCAGAACTCATGGTATCACCTGAGGCTATGCACCTGCCACTCTCCACTGTGGGAAAAACAGCTTTGGAAAAACATGCTTTGGACTCTATTTTGTCCCTGGAGCATTGTGGGATATAGCTCTGTAAACCTGTGTGCATAGGGGCCAAGCATTGTTAGGTCAGTCGCCTGTTTTTGGGATTTGTTAATTGTAGAAAAATTAGTGTTGGAATTAAAAAAAAAACACAATCAGTTTCACTATTTCACATGATTCTTCATAGAGAAGACCAAAGGTCACATTCACCATTGATGACCCTATGTGTATAATAGAAAGTCTCTTCATGGCTGTGCCTAATGTCTCTCCCAGGCCTGCAGTATTCAAATGGAGAAATGGGCTTCATGATTTGCCAATGAGTATGCATATCCAGAGAAGGGCAGAAGTTCATCCCCAAACCGACCCCTCCACAAAGTTAATCCACTTACACATCTTCTTGTGTAATCTGCTTGAGTCCATAGTGCATCAAAATACAGTAATGATTCTCACCATATATGATTAAGCATTTCAGAATGTGTACAGGAAAATATGTAGCATCTATGTGTTTGTGTGTGTGCCTCTGTCTGCTTAATTTGCTTTTTTCTTCATGTTCCTATCATTCTCTCCACTGCTGATACCAACTTCCACGTCTAATAGACACTGGCTGAGGACATGTGTGAGAAACTTCATATTTTATGCATACATGTGAAGTGAGAATTAAATGCATATTTCAAAGTTTCACACATCAACTCCTCTCACCTCCCTCTGTTTCTAATTCATCTCATGAAGCCACACTTTCTTGAATGCAGTAGGCCGTTCTATCATCTCTTCACTGGTGACCAAGGCTTGGTCATGTGCACTCTTTCAGGGAAACTCTCCAATTTTAGCCAACAACCCAAGACCCAGAGGAAAATCCACACACTGTGGATATCATCGTGTTCCAAATGGCGCCTTGGTCATGGAATGATATGTCATCCCAAGCACTGTTTGCAAATTGGATTTCCATTGGAAGTCACTGAAGCTGTAGGACAGGCATAATTGGTAAGAGAGAGCAGTGCAGTGAGTGGTGAGAGGTGCATGTGTACTCAAAAGTCCTTATTTTTCCTCAACCTCCCTATTCTCAAGGTTTCTTTTTGGTTGAAGTGTAGTGTTTTTTTTTTTTTTTTTTATATATATTTGAGGCCACCATTTCATGAGTTTAAATTGTGAGAAATTGATTGTTCATGCACCCTTGCAACAAACTGGGAATTGTTTTAACTCAATCAAGAAAAGTGTATGGGCCAGCGCTGCGACTCAATAGGCTAATCCTCTGCCTGAGGTGCCAGCACCCCGGGTGTGGGATTCTGTGCTGGTTGCTCCTCTTCCAGTCCAGCTCTCTGTTGTGGCCTGGGAGGGAAGTGGAGGATGGCCCAGGTCCTTGGGCCCTGCACCTGCATGGGAGACCAGGGAAAGCACCTGGCTCCTGGCTTCGGATCAGTGCAGTGCGCAGGCCTCAGCAGCCATTGGGGGGTGAACCAACGGAAAAGGAAGACCTTTCTCTCTGTCTCTCTTTCTCTCTCACTGTATACTCTTCCTGTCCAAAGAAAAAAGTGTATGAAGTAATTGCAAGGGTGGTTAGGGTATGAGTTGTTGTAGAGTCCATTCCACAAAGCTTTGGTTGCAACTTTATGGAAGCTAATTTAGTACTTCAATAACATAAGCAAAACATGGATGGAGATATTAATATTAATTTGTGTAGCTCACACAAGTGTGAACATACAGGATTAGGTTTTTTAAAATAATTTCATTTTAGTTCAGAATTGAAATTCAAGATGTTTTTTGTTCAACAATTACAAATAAATCCAGGGATTTTTTTCAGATTTCACAATTCCTGTTTATAGACACCTTGTATTACCTGGTAGGCCCAAACTTACAAAAATGTAAAAATGCAATTTTATGTATACATATCATATTATATAGATTATTTTCTGTCTCTATCATTGGACTATTTATTGAGTGTGATTTTCTTTGATATTATGGGAATCTGGGTATGACCAAAAAGAAAACTTCCAAATCTTCTGACTATATTGAAATTATCTATACTGTGAATTAACCCTTTTCTTCTGGATCACATGATGCCTGATGTAGGATATATTAGGAATATATCATTGGAATCCTTTGACAAATTCACTTCTTTTCTAAGGACTAAATAAGAACACAGAGTATTTGAAATAATATTATTATAAGTGCAAATAGACATTAGATGGTGAAATAAACTTTCTGAGGTTAAATTTTACATCTGGGTATTTGCGTTTTCCCTAGACTTTAATTCATTTAATTAATTATATAATGATTATATAATAATATGTATATTATATATTATATTATAATGTATATATATTATATAGTATACATAATATATATTATATTAATTATATAATATATATAATATATATTATGTTAATTCAATAGAAGCATATATAATCTATAGAAGCATTGATCTTCTATAGAATTTTCTTTAAGATATTATTATATAAATATATTTATTATTTATTATTTATACAATATATAAATATATAAATATTATTATATAATTATTATATATTATATTAATATCAATGTATTAATTAATGCATTATATAATTAATGTAATATTAATATAATATATAATAATTATATAATATATATTATCATATTATTATATAAATATGTAAATAATTATATAAATATATAAATATAATAAATTAATTATATATAAAGAAAATTAAATATATTTCTTCAATATATTCTACACATAAGCGATGGATTCAAATAATAAAGGTATAAATTTCATAAAAATCCATCTATAACTCCTGGAAAAAAGGCATCCAGATATTGTAGTGATATTGCTTTCAAGATGAGCATGAGCATGTCTTCTACAAATATGCACATACTACATGGTGATGTGAAGAATCTTGTCATTGTACACATTGTGGAAAATTGCTTCTGCACATTGGGAAGATGTAGATCGTGGCAGCACCGTGGGGCATTGTTGTGGGTGAGGCAGTCCCCATGCTGTTCTACATCATTGTGAGCACAGATAAGATCACATTTCACATGCCCAGTGCTTTAGGAAGAGTGACTCCCCACTCATAGCATGAAAGAAAAAATGCACCATCACCGAGGCTGTGTATGCTTTACAATTCCGACTGAGGAAGACATGAACATTGCATGTAGCATCATCAGGACAGTGGTCTTTCCCTTATTTTCTCCTCTTGTTTTTGGGGAGCACAACCCCCTCTCTCAGCAACTACTGTTATATGTTCACTCCATGACTAATGTAAATCTTTACTGCATTAATGTCTTACAACTTTGGGGTTCATGTGTCACCACAGCATAACCTGAGTTACCTTTTGAAAAACAATCAATTTCTAGCCCAGAACCCTCCAAAGCTACTGTATTCTGTGTTTGGCAGTTATATGTCCTGACTGTGGCATGTTTGAAATGGTTCTTCCATTAAGAATCTCTGAGATGCTAATGCAGACCATTGGAGTCAGCAGAAATGGCCCATGTAGTTGGATTCCTAACACCTATATTGGAGACTTCTATTGAGTGCCTGGCTCTTGGTTTCTTACCAGAGCCAGATGGACTTCTGCCATTGATGTGTCCTTTTAGTGAGAAAACAGCAGATAGGAGCTCTCTGTCTTTCTGTCCCTGTTTCTCTGCCTCTCCAACAAAACAGTAAGAGGTTGTAATGGGAATGTTCACTGGGTGTGCTTTGATGAAATCTGCTTTTGTGGAAGAGATTGTGGCAGGCTTGGGCTTGGGCAGATGAGTGTGTGAATTCCAGTGTAACTGTAACTGAGCCTTAAATGCTCTTCGGGGAATCTTCAGGACTAGCATGGCCCTCAGCTTCATCTGAAGTGGAAACCAGATGTCCAGGTCTTTACCTCTACACATTGAACAACCCTTGGTCCCTGGATGCCTTCTAAGAGAGTCTTGTCTTAGGACAAGACATTTTTGTGTGCTGTAAATATTGCTTATGAACCACAGTTCTGTGATTAGTCAATAGCCAATATTCACAGAAGGTGCAAATAGGTATATTATCCCCAGACAGGAATAAGAATGGGGTCTCTCAGGTTGCACTGCTTCCTATCTGTATTACTTCTTCCACTTGTCAATATTCTCAGAATCCAGCCAACTCTCTGGGATATGTTTTATGCCATGGTAGGATACCCATCCTTGGCTTCTACATTTCCCTTTCATCAGATGCAAGAGAATGGTGTGGGTGGAGCTTCACATATGGCTCTTTAGAATTAGGAATCCATTTGCCGCTGGGGTTTTTAGAGCTCCAACGTGTTCTGGTCTAGGCAGAAACTGCTGACAGGGTTCCAGCAATGACAGCAAGTGCTTTGTATTGTGTATGGCAGTTATAGTTAGGGGGAGTAAATGCTCTTTGTAAAGAAAATGCAAAACATTCCTAAGGATGAATTGGTCCATGACAAAGGTATTGAGATTTGGAATCACATGGATAGATTGGGGCGGAATTGGCGCTTCTTATTGATCTCCTGGATGGCAAAATAAAAGGCCAACATGTTTGGGCAGTTCTTCCCTAACCACCTAAATGAAGTAGCAGATTTAGAGAGAAGGGTGATAGCCTGTCTATCAGTGCAGTTTCACAGCCAAGCCCTGAGGTAGCCAAGTCTGGATTCAGGGTGTTA